TATGGACTTTTGACAGGTTTACAGTGTTGCCATAAACTCTCTTCTCTGGAGCAGGTTTCAAGTCAAGTCCAAACATGATTGGTTACTGTCTTAGTTTGCTTTTAATTGCTGTGATAAACACCACATAAGAGTAGTGGACTACCACAGTGTTTCTCATATATCATTCATTTTGCTTAGCCCATATCCAACCTTTCTTTTCTCTTACTTCCATCTCCATTCTTGCTTGAACCATCACCCTTCGGCATTTTCCATTCTGCGTTCACATCACATCTGTTCTACCCTCACCGTACTCCTAGATTGCCCTTTTTGTTCCTGTGACCCCTTTCTAGTTTCCCAATATTCTCTCTTTGAAATTCAGCATTACAGGAAATGTGATGGCCAGAAAAAAATGGACAGTCAGCATAAAGTGTCATTTCTTTGTTTGAGATTTTATCTTCCATAAACAGAAGCTTCAGGAGCGTGAATTATGGCTAAGGACTTTTTCCTACTTTGCAATCAAAGAAAGAGTTTTTACCTTGATGATTCAATTCCATGCTTTGAAAATTAAAAAAAAAAGTGTTTCATTTAGAGACAAATACTCCGCAAAGAGCTATTGTGATTTTAAAAATTGGTTTCATAACATCAATATTTGCCAAGATTTTATTCTAACTTCAGTTTTATTTGTAGCCTACTTTAATTAGTGGAAAAATTTTGCTTTCTATCTATACCAATGAAAAAGTTGAAATCTGGTCACAGAATGTAGTCCAGACCCTCAAAGTTTGTTCTCTTATACACAAATAAATTCATAAAACACCATGTTTTATTTTTTTATAATATGAATCTGAAAGTTTTCAATAAAATACAAATTTATATGGAAGGAGCTTACATAAGAGAAATTTAAGAGTCATTCATGTTGATTTTATTTTAATTTGAGAAATATAAAGTAACTATTTCCAGCTAAAACAAAGATGATAAAAACTCAGTATTTTATAAAAAAAAGATTTGGGTATTATCAGATTGCAGATGATGAAAATTCTTAGAATGGAAAAATAATGAAAAATAGACATATTCACAAAATCAAGAAATGATGAGCCACCCCTGCAGAACCTTGCACTGTGGAAAGAAAGGGTCAATACAACAAATACTGAGGAAGCACTCAAGGAAAGAGAACTGGGAGAATTACTAAGATGTAAGGCTTAATAGAATGATCATGCTCACAGTAATGCATCGGACATAACTACAATTTCCTCTACTGCCTGCTTGTTAATTGCTGTGGTTGAGTCCATGTGTGTTAACAACAGTGCACATTATAGTTGCTAGGTAAGTTTAAAGGTCCTACTCTGTTACTCTTATCACCATCCTTCCCATCAGAAGAACTAGCTTTAGTGTGGAGTTAAATGAGAGAAACAGAACTTTGGATGTGATGTATCAGCTCATTGAAGGAGAGTGAATACATGCTTATCCTATGCTATGGAGAAGTCGCATTGAGAGTCTGCTGTGACTTATGCTGGGTGGTTTTGATAGTTTCACCAAAACACAAAGATTGTTTTCTGAGATTGAGTCAAATGGAGCCTAATGAAATTATGAGAAGAGCGAAGCTGTTAAATGTTTTAGAAAAGAGTGAGGTGGAAGTTAGTTTTAGCACCAGTGAGGAAATATTTTTTTAAAACTTTTTGATGCTCAGGAATATTTCAAAAACTCAAATGGGCAGAGTAATAGTTGTAATGTTAGAAGATTATTTTTATGATTTGCAATTTAGAGCCTGGTTTATAGTGTTGTAGAATTCTGTTTTATGAAAGCAGGAATATTCAATACTTCAATTGATCAATGGTAGAAAGGCAATGTGCACTATTAAATAAGCTAATTTTAAAAAGTCTGTGGTAAAGTCCAGATGACGGAAAGGGAAACAAAACCAAGTGAATGTGAGAGGAGAAACCTTAAGTAATTGGACAGTAGCCTCCTGCTTTCCACTTTCCCAAAATGAATATTATATTAACAACTTTCTTTTGGAAATGATTTTTAATGATATACCACATCAAATCAGCTTATTAATGCCAGTTTCAATGCCATGATGATTTACACCTCTGCCTCACTGATGCATTTTTATAAATTTCTTTTTATTCTCTAATGTTCTGACAATGGGCTTACCAACATTTTTCATGTACTTCCTTCATATACTTGTATGAATTTGCTTTCACTGTTTCTCTTGTTGGAATTATATTCCTAGCTCCTTCAGATATAATTCTCACTTCACTTCTCCAAGTTTTCCCAGCTTCTGTAAACATTTTACTTGCTTGCATTTTCTAAAAGTGCCTCCCGTTGCTCTGTGTGTTCTTCCTCAGTGATGTCAGCACCACATACCACATCACCTCTAGCTCTTCTTCTTCGTTATTTTATTTCAGTGATTAAAATGTGAGCATGATGAGATGGAGTCTGTGCTTATGACATAAAACATCTGCAGAGTTGCTCACCATATTATAGGCACTTAATGTTTGTTCAGAGAAGTCTAAACTCTTGAGAGTTCTTTTAATGTTTCAGTTCTTAGATACTGACTCATTTCTTCAGGTTCATATCTGCTCAACTACTGGGTATGGCTACTGTGAGAACTCTGATAAAATCTTGGAGTACGGTGGTATTTATAGATGCAGAAGGAAGGAAAATTAAAGAATCGGTGCCCACTGGTAAGGACATGGAATCGATTGAAGCCAATAAATTTGCAAGCATTCAAAGATAAAATAGAACCACTTATAATTAATGGCCCCAGTTTTACAGAATTATTTCAGTGCTCTCCCTTCATGGTTGGTTAAGTTGTATTTTCATAGAACTGGTTGTTTCAGTAAGAGTAACCTGGTCTCAATGTATGATGAAACTGAGTGAAAAGATCATATAGTGAAATGCATTTAAAATTTTGATGTTTTGGCAAGAGATATTTTGGTTCTTATCTCAGAATTGGTACTGAAAGAACCTCAACTAGGCAACACAGTCAAAATAGTTCCATAATCTAAAACTGGCACATCCAATGCAATTTACAAAGAAAGAGAATTAACAACACAGAAAATATCACACTCTCACACTTTATTTTGGCTCAATATTGTTGTCTTTTAAAGAAGCATATAAGGGAATGTTGGTAATAGGAGATGATATGATGGATGGGGAAATTATGCAGAAATCAATTTTCTACTTAAACCTATGAACAAAGAGAAAATAATAGATTATTAAAATATATGTACTATCAAAATATATACAATATGCATAGATATTTCTTATTTATATGAACATTCAAACATACTGAGTGACCAGATATAATTCTTCATAATTAACACTAATTGATGACAAAGTAATTTGATATACTAATGCTGTCAAAGTAGCTATCAATAATTATTGATTGTCTAAATGATACTTAGGGTCTAAATTCTTCAATACATTTTATAAAAGGTATTATATATAATTTTTCCAATAATTGAGAAATATTTACACTACCAGATCCATCACTTAGATGCTAAGAAGGAAATATTATTATACATGGCTTAAAATTTAAAAAAAAGAAAATACATAGAAATAAATCTTCATAACAACCTATCAATGTCTCTGTACAAAAGCTGGATGAATATATCTTCTTCAAGGAAAACATTTTGTGTGAAATGTAAAGAGAAAATATCAAGTATATACAAATATGGCCACTTATGTTTTTGACAATTTCTGCCCGATGTAATTACTTCTGTTTGAATCAATTCTGTTCAACAAAGGAATTTTTGTATAATTTATTTTTAAGTACCCATATTTAGCATATGTATGCAAGTTACACAGATAACTTATTGGCAAATCAAAAATTTAGAACAAAACTTAAAATACATCAGTGAAGTTTTGGTACACAGTTGAAGTGTGATTTTTCTCCTGCTGTTGCATGCAAAGCTTTAGGTGTTGCTAAAAGCATTGCTTATGTCCAGGGCCAAAATGTATTACCTATGGCTCGGATGCAGAAGTTAATTCAAGATTCTTAGCAGTATCTCTTAAACAAGAAGGAAGTACAAGCATTTTAACTCCCTAAGGATATTTGTATTTCACCTAATGGATCTTACATCTTCTTTAAGCATCTAACACATTGAACCTAAAGTATGAATTTTACTTTCTATACTAAAGCTTGTCTAATGATTACTTCATGCCCAGGAACACAATCCAAGAAGCAAAAGTTGGAAGTATGCTGAAGATAACTGTCACATATGGGACTCAAATCTAAAGTTTTTAAAGTCAAATCGCTAATATTTATACAAAATTTTAGTTTCTTGTTCCATAGTTTACTCTGTTTGGCACTGGAGGAAAAGCGTCCCAAGCCCTGGGCTTTTATTAAGTGGTTGGAGGTAAAACCAATTAGTACAACTTCACATTCACTCTGTTCCTTTAACTTTTGAAGTCTTTTGTAAAATTAAAATTAATAATACTCAATGTTTCTACCTCAATAAATAGCTAGAGTAACCTAGAGGATATTAATTCTCAAAAACTCGAGATATAGAGAAGGCTCAATAATTAAGACTTTGTATTTTTCTGTCAAAGAACCAGAGTAACCATGCTGTGCAGTTCATAACTGCCTATAGTTCCAGTACTAGGGAGATCCAGTGCCTCCACTCATTGTGGGCACGTGCATTCACAGGCACATATCCACACAGGCATACAAGCTACATATAATTAAAATAATACAAATTAAAAGGAATGAATTTTGTCTACTTCTTAGTCTTTCATTTTCCTGGAAAATGCTCTATGTAAGAAATCAAATACAATATCAATGCAGGTCTTTGTTATTGATGATTGTTACAATCAACAATTACTATTCTTGATACAATTCTAAGTACTTAGATTAAATAATATGATTTTTAGATGTCCTTGAAAATTTAAATTTAAACTATTTTATTTTGTGTAAAGAATATTTCATGTTACTGCATAACTTTTCTTGCAAAGCCAACAATTACAATTTTTATTGTATTTAATTGTATGATTTATATGCTAATATTATGTTTTATCAGTTTTCACAGTGCACATACCACATAGGGAGCATATGGGTAGGTGTATGGCCTATTCCAGTAGGTCACAGGCATCTGCTGTTGATGAACAGCCTGGGGGAACTGGGGGATGATGAACTGATGAATTTGGTTATTCTCGATCTAAAAGGAATATAAACATATAAAAAAAAACCACTCAATACTCTCCTCTTAGCTTCAAAAACAGAGGAACAGAAGCTAGTAAATTCTAACTTCAGCTTCATAGGCACTTTCTAAATTATTTCAAGAACCCTCTAAATAAAAAATTTTCCAGTATCAAAATCAACGTAACCATTTTTGTGTTACAGAGTGTACTATAAAATTTAAGTAATCTTAGTAATTATACACAGACACAAAAATTTGAAAGATTAAGGAGAAAATTTGTATGTCAGAATGAAATAAGAACATTTTAATAATCCTGATGAATTTCTCAACTTTTCACTTATGTTTGCGTGTATGACCTTTATAATCTGAGAGTTTCAGAATGATGTGTCATGACTTATTCCCTGGGATCTATGCCTCTGATATGATTGTTAGTCTCTTAGCATCATTTGCAATACAGAATTACCATCTAGAATATTTTGTAATGCTTTCAGAATAGCCCATGCCATAAACCTTGTGTATAGTTCCTCTCAAGATCTTTAAAGCTTTCTGACTTTACTTTAACATCAGAAGTTCAGAGGATAAATACAACTTCCTGCTGGGGCATTCTAGTTCTTACAAATGGGAAGTTTTATTTTTAATTTCCAGTGAGTGAATGAATGGTGGATCTATAGTTGTGACACATCATTGGTAAAGAGGTAGATTTGATGAAATCACTTTTGTGTCTCCAGTATTCTATTGCACAGTTTATATGACACAAAAATCTTTAGAGTATCTAGTTTATTCCTATATTATTTTCAGACAAAGATATGGTAGGTAACAAGAATGAAGTAATTAAAAGCACTGTATTGTAAAGAGTAGGGTAACAGGACAGGTAGTTCACTTTCCTGACTACAAAGCCTGCATTGGTTCACTGGAGCACCGATGGCTTTAGACGCAGTAAATGTTGGAGTTTGACACTAATCACTGAGACATCTTAATTTTGAGAAATTAGGTCCTGTCAACCTATTAGATAGAGGCTGTATTATTATGTGGGTACTTAAAATCTAAATAATTTAAAATAAAATATGTCTAGCCTGAGATTTCTAACTACTCTTTGATCATCAGATATTTTCTCAAGTACTAATTTAAAAAATAGACACATATTTATTTTCAGAGACACATTCATATTAAAATAAAAATAAAATGTAATTTATTGTCTTGAATTTGGTTTTGAATATTTTCTTGAAATTGAAAGGTGCAATATGAGATTTATGATTATGTATATACTAATTGAATTATACAAGGAATTCTCATTATCAGGAATATTTATATCATGTATATAAATATATAAATCAATATTGATATATGATATAAATATATATTAGTAAGATGGGAAATTTATTAGAAATTGTAAATGCAGAAAACTGTGATCTTTTAAATCTACTGGTTAATTTTTGATTTATCAGAAGATGTAATCATTTCACTAGATGAATTAGTAGAAATGTCCTTCAGAAATAAATCGGATATAAAAGTTTGAGGGTAAGAGATAATTACATTTGTAATGACTCAGAATTATAAACTTTCACCTGACGTGAAAGTTCTTATACCAACACAATCATTATTGTGGCAGGTAAAATGAAGCCAGCAACAAAGAATGTAATAAAACCAATTGTAAAATACTGAAAATTAAAATGTATACAAGTACAAATAATTTAAAATTTTAATTGACAGAATCATAGGCAACTAAAGGTAAGATTTTGAATAATAAACGAGTAAAAATTTATTTTAACACATCTAAAATAATATTATCAATAAATGACCTTTCTATGCATGCTTTTCCTTCATATTATAAACATTTTAAGCCACATTCGACTGCATAAAACTAAAATAAAAAAACTTACCAAATCAATAATCTTCTTCAGGATTTCCTTAAAGAAAGCAAACACATATGTGACATACATGCTGATTATACTTTGCCAAATTTATTCTTAGATACAGCAACATTTGTCCATCTGACACACACATGCATAATGATTTGTTCAGTGAATTATGTCTGAGTTTCTCAAGATAATAGAAGCACTTTTTTTATTTGAGTATTCACTCTAAATTGAGTTTGCCTATTTTACTCATTTTTCCTAATATCTAGAATCTTTTAGGTGAAATATTGCTTGTTTGTGCTTTAAATAAATGGATAAATTCATGTGTTTATTTTTATTAGCATACGAAACCATTTTAAATAGCATCCTCTTGTTTCAATTATTCTAAATAAGTATTTACATATGAAATATCTATATCTATGCCTTGAGTGATCTTTATGTACAATTTGTATGAGAGACAATTTCAGAAAAAGTTGGTAAATGGTTGCTTAATCATCCACTGATACAAGGGGACTGATCTAATGAGAGTTCACCAAGGCCAGTTGGACTGGGACTGAACGAGCACGTGATCCAACCAGATTCTCTGAATGTGGCTGGCCCGGAGTCTTTCTGAAAAGCCATTGACAATGACACTGGGACTTGTTTCCTCTGCATATACTGTATTTTTGGGATCCAGTCTGTTTGGATACTCACCTTCCTGGACCTGGAGGGAGCGGGGAGGAACTTGAATTACCCACAGGGCAGGAAACCCTGACTGCTCTTAGGGATGGAGAGGGAGGAGGAGAGGGAGTAGGGGGAGTGGGAGGGTGTTGGGAGGAGGGGCGGACATGGAAACTTTTATAATTTAATAAACTTTGGGAAAAAAAGATTACAAACTAAAAAAAAACAAAAAAACAACAAAAAAAGAAAATCTAATAACAATACGTTTAAAACTGTTAGGGTTTTATAACTATTAAAACCACTAAAAAACAAGATTTCATTTCTCATGGGAAATAACTTGGTTCATCAACTTAATTCTTCAGGCTTTCATGCTACAACTCTATTCTAATAAGCAACTACAAAATTAAAAACAAAACTTTAAAAGTTTATGAAATTTTGATAGTCATGACTCACCTGCACAATGATGCTGATGGATTCCTTAGAAAAAGAAATAAAAATAATACACCAAATTATTTCTGTAGTAAAATATTACTTATTTTAGTGTCCTTCTCACTCATCATAAGTAGGGCACAGGGGTCAGTTGTTGGATGGCACTCCAGGTGCCTTTAGGCAAGGGGCACATGACATCAGTAGAAAGCTTTTGAAACCAGCACTGATATGGGAACTTGATTCCAGATTTGAGAAGTACAGCTCAGAAAGCTGTGGATGGACGCCATAACTCTGTTCAGTGACTGCCAACGAAAGAGGCAGCACTGGCTATTTTCTTTCTGATCCAGTGCTGTGTAACTATCTCTTGCCAAATTTAAATGTTACTGCTTTATTCTGTCCCCATAGAGTTTTTTTTTTATCAATGTTATATAAAATTGTATGTTTCTATAAATCTACCCGTTTACATAAAATAATTTTAATAAAGAATTCTTCAGTGGAGTTATCTGGTATTGAATTTTTTTCATTGTGGGAAAAAATTTAACTCAGAGGTGGTGTCTTATTCTTGCTCTAAAAACACATAACTGCTTCAGTGTGTGACCTACTTAGATAGACAGGTAGAATATCCCTTTCTTGGGGTAACTTACTTCAATTGGTGCTGTCTTTAAAAAAAAACAAACTCATTGCCAAGTGTAATAACTGCATACAAATGATTCTACATTTGAAAAACATACTTTTTCCAGATGTATTTCTTATTTTGAGAGTTCTTTTAGGGTGTAGTTATGTATGATAGCATTGCCATATTTAAAATTGTAGAGTCCTGTCTATGGAAATACGATAAAGAATGCTGTAACATTTTAACATTCTTATATATTTCACAGTTAAGGTAATATATACCTAGTTAAATAAATGTTGAAAACAATGATATGAAGCAGGTATCACCTACATTCTCGAGTCTAGAAGAAACGACCAAACGTTTTATTGGTATAAGTAGCTTAAGAATTAAAATGTGACAAAGCAATGGAATATTTACTACTTGCTTATAAACTGATATTTACTCCAATCAAGCAAAGCAGTTTTTAAGAGACAAATATCAAACAGAATCATAAAAGGCAGTTATTAAGACTAGTGGTAACCGAGAAAGAAGAAACTAATGCACTACCTATAAAATATCATAAAGTACCTTCTTTTTAAAGTTGTATATATACAAGAAAAACCTCCCAGTGGGGTAGCAAAATCCAGGAGGTTACATATGTACATAAATATATGTCTATGCTTTGTAAGTCACAATTTATTAAAGATTAAAAGTTCATTAATTTGAGGAATGGGACGGAGAAGGAAGGAAAAGATGCAAACTCATTACTCATATATGAGATATTCAAACACAAAAACATGCAATATTATTATTGTGAGAAGGATTTATGCACTAACTAATTTCTTGTTCTGCTCTGGAGGGGGAAAATCGTCCATTTGATTGTTGGCTAACAGCTGAGATCTACAGTCTTTTCTTCCCAATGCTGCCATCTCCTGGACATAATAAAACCCCAAAACCTTTCTATTTCAGATGCACAGGATTTTATTGTTTAAGATGTTTCATAATCATCCGGCAATCAATACAATACATCAAAGCTTATTTGGTTTAATGATAGTGATGTCTTCTTACTTTCTAGGGGAGAGTTAGAAAAGCAATGCACACTCCAAACACAAGAAACAGACGAGGGTGGTCAGGTCTGCAAGGTCATATACCTTATAGCTTATTTTTGGTAGTTCAGCAGCTGACTCCCTGTACACCAGATTTCATACCTCAGCTATAGGTAAGATCCTACCTCCTGCATTGTTTGCTACATGACACTTATTACTTCCGTTTCAAAGACCTCTCTATGCCAAAAGCCTTATTGAAATGGCAACATCAAACAGGACTTTAACAATTGGATGGATGATTACTTTTCAAAACAAAATATTCTCAGCTTCTCAGATGTACTGTCATAACCACATCATATCATACATAAATGCATATTTATGAGATTTATATATAATTTACCTTTTTAAAAATTATTAATAGTGCTTAAATAGCAATTTGTCTCTATGGCTTGTTTTAATTTACATTCCAGAAAATGTTATGAAAATTCATTTGGTTTTTACTTTCTGTATTTAAACAGATTGGAACTTTTTACTTCAGCTAATTAGTTTTCAAGTGGAAGTAGTAGCAAAAACAACACAAATAAAAATGCTCCACTCACCTGGTTGGGAATGTTACGGATGGCCTTACCCTGGGCCCACTGGTTCAAATTGATCTGCTGTTGGGAAACAGGTGTGCAAAACTGGGAGCAGGAAAGGTCCTTGGAAAACTGCTTGATTTTTTTCTAGAAGGGAATGAATGTACCAGCATTTATGTAGCGACTGTTCTCTATGGGTCAGAGTGTATCTGTATGAAATCAAATCTATATAAATATCAGAACTTTATTTTTAGTTACTAAGGTTTACTAAGCAAAAGACATTTTGTTTCGTAATGCAATGTAAAAGTGAATGAAGTGAATTTTAGAATGGAAGTCATTATTAGGTTAGGGTTCCAGAAGAAAGTTTTTACGTAAAGGGCAAAATGCTACAAAAATATAGAAATTAAGAGTTGTCTAGGGAGTAGACATTGCTATTTCTTTTTCTCTTTACATTTGTCTCAGGAAGTGTGATGCCTGCTCCCTGAAATAGTGATATTTCTATTTTCTTTGTTATAGTGTAACTTCTGAATATCTTACAGCATCACTGTTTCAGTAATCATGTGAGCTGATGGATGCAGTGGCTTATATACTACACCTATCTAAATGCCCCTCCTGGAATGATACAGTTTTATTTGGCTGTGGCTAGTTGCCTACAAATATTGTGTTAAAGATGAGACCACATAAAAAAGTGCATTTATTTTCAGAGACTTTTCAGTTCACACAGATAATAATAGAGTATATGTGTAGAAGAACGTCGATGTATCTTTGGTTGTCAGGTCAGATGCACTGATAAATGAAATGGTATAAGGGTACAGTACTCTCAGGGTCTAGACATGGTGTGAGAAAAGAGTTTTTAAGATAACTATTTGTTTAGAATAGATTATTTTACCTTGTTTTTAATAGTGCAATGTGCTATTTTGCTACAATAGTCTTAAAAAGGATTTTCCTTCTTGTATAAAAACAATGACTGGGTTTTTGTTTATTTATCTTTGTAAATGTCTATTACACAGCTAGCAGCTGTCCTCTAACGTCCTTTGAAAAACCTGCTGCTGTGGTGACCATGGTTCTCTTGGGCTAAGGAGATGGAGCTGGAGGAGTCCAGTAACTGCTCAAGGAGTTAACGTTGGGAAGGAATTTGCCTGGTTTCAGTCCTCTCATTCTTTCTTCCTCTGCACATTCTGATGTCTCATGGCAATGGGCTTCATCACCATTTGTTCTTCAGGATGAGAACATTTAGTAGCCTTTGACCTTAAGTTATCTATCTTTTTATTTGTTCAAAGAGAAGCATTTTGACTAATTATATGAATGATTTGTTATGTAGATATCTGAGGGAAAACAGTTAAAACACTTTTTCTGAGTTTTAAAATTTAGTAAGACTGTCTGTTTTTTGTTTAAATTCCATATTTTAAAGATATTATTCACATATATGGTAACAGTTTTGTCAAAATTTGATATTAAATATTTTATTGGGAAGAAATGACACGATCATGACAAACCTACCTGCTCATTCAGGTTGACCTTTTGTTCTTCAGTCTGCACAATTTTCTGTGGAAAACATTGCACATATCAGAGAGATACAGACAGAAATGTTGCTAATAAAATAACTTAGTTGAATTATAAATGCTTACATCATTGATTTCCTCAGCAGATTCCTAAAGGAAAAAAAATGAAAGTAGCTTTACTTGAATTATATAGCAATAGTTAAATATAAATGATTTTAGTAGGCCGTCAGGGGCACTTATTTAAATATTCAGAATCCAACCACCCAGTACTAAGATATTAAGACATTTAAGAATGAAATAAGCTAAATATTTATCAGAACTTTCTAAATTTCTTTTATCTCTACAAATGTACTAGCATAATTAAAATACATTTTAATTCAATACTTTATTAGTACTACATTAGTCATAATTTTTTAAAAAAATGCCAGCAAGTGATAAAAATAAATAAATAAGACCAGCCATGAAGTTAACTTATGCTTGTAACCCAGCAAACCCTGTAAAGAGGGGCAGTAGGATTGCTATACAGGCCAACCTGGGTTACGTTGTTATAGATTTAGATTCTGAGTCCCGTCCTGAATAATGTAGGAGAGAGGAACCAGCAGATGGGGCTTGCATGTTGGAAAGTGGATCAACTAAGCATTTGGGGGCTTGGTTCATGACAGATACTGTTGGAAGCTCCCAGTCTGAGACTGAGACTTAAATTTAAAGAAAGGCTGAGACCTATTTCCTGAGACATTGGCTGTGAAGAGTTTAGGCACCACCCAAGGTCATAAGGCTCCAGATTATGACCTAATTTATTGCTGCCAGCACTTTTCAAACATACTTCAATCTGTCAACATTGTTATCAACCAAAGGCATAGAAGGTATTGGCAACATACATAATATCCAATCCAAACCTTCTCTTGACTCTATGAAATGACTCTCAACATTTAATATGATAGTATCATATCGAAGTTTTAGTAAAAATGTGGAGTTTTTGGTCCAACCCAGAGTTCCTGAGTCAACTTCTCATGGACTCACATATATAGCAAAGAACAGGGTATAAGAGATAATGATCTTATGAATTTAATCAATTTAAGGTATGGTGGAATATTTTTGAGACCCTATTCTTCCATTGAATATTTGTATGTGTATCTCTCTTCTTGGTAATATCAAGTTATTATAGAACACTATGGTTAAGTCACTAATTCTCAAAAATAGCACAGAAGAAATAATAACTTACTTCACTGGATGAACTGCTAGCAGAGACCTTGATAAATAAAAGCAAAACAAAAGAATTAGTGACATGAAGATAGGTTTATCAACAATATCCCTCCAGAAGCAAATATTGATTTCCTACTGGGTTACTAATATACAAAATGAGAAAGAGGATAAAGATAAATCATTACTTATGTGAGATTCCTCTGTATATTCTGTGAATATGTTTTATTAGCATTTGTTAATAAAGAAGTTGCTTTGACCTATGGCAGGGTAGAATAGAGCAAATCAGGGAAATTGAACTGAATACAGCGAGAAAGAAGGCGGAGTCAGGGAGGTGCTCTGTAACTGCCAAAGGAGAAAGATGCTGGAACCTTACCTGTAAGCCAGTCAGTTGGTGATACATAGATGAATAGAAATGGGTTAATATAAGATATGGGAGCTAGCTAGAAATATGCGTGAGCTAGACGGTGTTGTAATTAATATAGTTTCTGTGCGATTATTTGGGTCTGGACAGCTGGGAAATGAACGGAGCAATGTCCATGTACACATTAAATCATGGTTTATAGTCACTGATTATTAACCACATTCAGAAAAATGTATGGGAAGGATCCACCTAATCATGCAAGTAAATGGGTTTTTGTGAACATAGAATAACATGACTCCAGTGCAGCTAGAGTCAAATTAATGCTCAGATGCCTCCAGATACCACCTTCTGACTTATTTCAGGAGGGGTGTTGTGGAAGGTCTGAGGGATAGTAGCGATATTTCACATCACATAGAAGCACTGTTAATCAAGTATAGTTAAGAAGAACAAAAAAATCTTCCACTATCTCACCTATTTTTATTTGGGGATTTCTAATTTACAAAGAATTATGCAAATTACCCCTACATCATTTATGAAGTAAGAGAAAACCCATTTTTCTTAGGAAGAAATATACTAACAATCTCCATCTTATGGGGTTATATAAAAATAACCCATTAAAACGTGGTTTTGAAATGAGACGCAGATGTCCTTGTGGGATCTTTTCACATTAGTGCATAATGGCTGCCTAAGATTGTAAATACATTGACCTTTTGGAGTTCGAAGTTGAACAAATAACAGTCAAATGTGCAGCACAGATATTAAAAAATGAATTTTACCTGAGCTGTTTGGAAGAATGCATCATTGGCCTGCTTATAGTTCTGAAAAGAAATAAATGACATTAATTTTATAGCCATGTTAATTGAAAATACTTTAAAATGTGTTTAGTATAAGAAACTATGACTTACTCCTTGGTAGATTCTGGTAGATTCCTTAGGAAAAAATGAAAATGCATTTTGATTACTTTCTAATTCTTTACCCATACTTCTCAAAGAAGTATTGATGAGCACTGACTACTGAATACAAGAGTTTTAGAGTAATGAGTTTTGAGATGACAGCAGCAAAAAGAGGAGGAACAGTTTTTTTTTCTTTTTAATCTTTTGAATTTTTTTTATTTTTAAGTAAAATTTTGGCAGAACAGCACAGCTATTTGTTGGGTGCCATTGAACTAGAATCTGTTAGTGGAGCATGTGAAGAAGGCACCCAACGACTGGAGCCCTACGTAGGTGCAAATGTGTCTGTATTTAATAGTCCAGAAGTAAATGTAACAAATAACCATAATTATTCACAACAAATGGGAGTCCTAGACTGACGTCAGAGTTATTGAATGACGGGACAATCAGCATGGGGAAGGAAGGTATGCAAGTTTGATGGTGTTGTATATTTTGGCTTATTTTCCTCGTAATTTTTTATTTCAATGGCTAAACTTTAATTTTCCTATGAATTTGTAGGGTGTTATTGCTACTCATAAAAATATGAATGGGCAAAGACATATAATTTACTATTAGGCGCTAGAATTAGTATTCATAATAAAATACCTTACCTCACTGGATTGATCCTTTACCACCTATGTAAATAAAAAAAGCATGATTTAATTTTTTATAGCTTATTTAAAATGGCAAGGTGTATCTTTTTTAATACCAAATTGCAGGGATATTTAAAACAAAAGCTGAGGCAAGTGAAGTAACTCAGCAGGCATAGGTGCTTGCTACCAACCATGACTACCTGAGTACATCTCCAGGACCACGTGGAAGGCAAGAACTGTTTTCCAACTCCCATAAGCTGTCCTGTGACTTCCTTATGTTGTTGTGGCATGCACACACACACACACACACACACACACACACGAATAAATAAAATTGACTTAGATAAAAAAAAATTTCTTAGACAAATTTATTTCAAAAGAACTCTCTTTGAAAAGGTATCTAAGTCTCAAATATCAGTACAGAACTACTCCAACACAAGCACTTTTGAAGAACTTTAGCTCTCTTTTGCTAGTTACATTAATACACTGTTAGCTGAATGAGTTTTTATTGTGATTTTTAAAAAGAAACTGTTTAAGCTAATTACGAAATGTAAGAAAAAGGTACTGATCCTGTATACCACTTACAATGCATCTTATTATTTTATCTCTATACATTACCTTCTGTGTCCTAGAGAGTTAAGTCTATGTTCAGAATGAGAATTGAGACAATGTTGAAAGCAAAAATTATTGGTACTACCATATACGTAGACTGAACTCCAAACTGTGCTAATCAAATATTTTAAAATGTATTTCTTACTACGTGCTTTTCATTTTATGGCATCATCACATCGTCATTTCATCATCATCATTATTATTATCATCTTTTTTCATTTTTTGGCAAATAAGTTGTAATCAAATCCAAGCTTAGTAATACTTATTTCCCTTCAAGTCATTTTTTTGTTATAGTTATGGTGTGTGTGTGTGTGTGTGTGTGTGTGTGTGTGTGTGTGTATTCATGTGCTTATATGCAGACAGGGGCATGCATTCATATGTGATCTGAGCGTCAGTGCCTGCATGCTAACCTGAGGCATTTTCCCTGATATTGTCTTACCTTATTCACTGAGACAATATCTCTCTGTTGAATTCAGAGTTCCCTGATGTGAACTACTCTTGCAAGTCTGCTTGTTCTGGAATTCACTGTCTTATGGTCTTTGTTTTCCAAATGCTTGAATTCCAGGCTGGCAGCTGTAATGCCCACTGGAAGTTTATATGGGTCCAGGGAATTTCAAGTCCATCTTTGTGCTTGTGTGCTAAGTGTTTTATCTATGAATCCATTTGCCATATCCATATGTCCTCATGTATATTTTGTCACCATGAATTCTAAACTATTCTTTTAATTAAGAATGACAAAATTCTATCAATTTAATGACAACTGGCTTTGAAAATTCAAATTATAATGGTGGTGTTTTCTTATACTTCCAGAACACATGACAAGTAGAAATGGCTTCTCCAGAAAGATCTAACTAAAATTGCAACATACTCTGGAAGGGAAGCAAATCTTTTCTCCTATTGTCTACACTTCTGCATCTTCTCATGTTGACACTTTGTAGCATGATTGTCCTCCCTTGTGTATTATAAAAGGGAAGATCAATATTACCACTGATATAGATACCAAGGTAACAGACTCAGTTTCTATTCATTGTTGATGATGCCTGTATTTTTTGCTTATAGTAAAAGGTTCATTCTTCTCATAATTCAAAAGTGAAGTCATAGCATCGTGTATCCCTGCTCACTCACATGCTTTGCCAGAGCAACAGCCACAAGGCAGGTAAAGATGAAGAACTTCATGGTTGCTTGGTCCTGTAGAATTACGTATAGAAAATTATTATTCATTTTATCACGAAATAATCATTTATCTGTTATTGTACATGTAATAGAGAAACGTAATAAATTGAATAAAATATGATATGTTGGGGGAATTTTATGAATACAAATAGAAATATCACGATTGATATTGAGACTTTTTTTCCCTGACAGGTGATACTTGAAACCACGCTTACTAAAATGTGAATGATTCATTCAGAGACATCATAAATTCCTAGAAATAAACTCAATAGATGGACATTTTGTGAAGAATGATTGTCAGAAGGATGAAGTATAACAAAAATTCCTTTTGAAATTGGATTTTAGGGGAACTAAGGCCTAAAGCCTTGCTTCCTAACAAAAAGAAGTAGTAGATGGAAATGAGACTGGGCTGAGAGTCGGGGATCCTAAACATTCTGCATCAACTCTGGAAGAGAGTGAAGTCGAGACAAGCTCCTCAGTATCATCCTTTTGCATGTAACATGCCTAATGTGTGGAACCGGAGTCCACAGTCTCCAAGACTATACCCAGCTAGAGACACCTCCACTACGATAGCTACAGAGAAGTAAGTCTACAAGGTCTCTTGACAACCTGTGAACCAGTTCCTTATCTCCATTGAACAAAACTGAAAGTTATTCTAACATCTTCTTTTCACATTTTGCTCTGTATGTATTCATTAAGTTAATTAATACATTTGTTTTACATCCTGATGCAGGACTCTTCCTGCTCCCTTCCCAACCCCCACCCCCACCTGCTTCCCTTCAATTCATTCCTCCTCTATTTCTGTTTGAAATGGGGCAGACCTCCCATGGTTATCAAAACAAAACATGGCATATCAAGCTGCAGTGAGACGAAGTACCTCTTATATTTAGTCTGGGCAAGGTGAGCCAATATAAGGACTAGGGTTCAAGAACCATTCAAAACATTAGAGAGAGCCCCTGACCCCATTGTTATGAGTCTCACAAATAGACCAAGCTACACAGATGACACATGTATGTAGAGGTTTTAGGTGTTCCCCATGGAGGCTCCCTGGTTGTTGGTTCATACACTGTGTGTTCCTATGAGCCAGCTCAGTTGTTTCTGTGGGTTTTCCTGTGATGTCCTTTACCCCTCTGGCTCCCACAATCTTCTCTTCAGCGAGAATCCCCATTGTTGGCCTAATTTTGACTGTGGGTCTCTTCATCTGTATCCATCAGTTACTGGATGAAGGCTTTCTTATGACAATCGAGGTAGTCTATACACAGGAGATGTCCTGTTCAGGCTATGCATACACTATTGCTAGTAGTCTTAGCTGGGCTCATTCTTATAGATTCGTGCAAGTTTCCCTTGCATCAGGTTTCTAACTGACAAGGAAATGACCCCAGCCTTTCCAGTCTTCTTTTTTAGTACTCTCCCTTTCCATCCACCCCCAACCCGGTCCCTCAGGTTTCCATCCCCACCTACCACCAGTCCACCCAGGACATCCCTCCTGTTTCCCCTTCCCAGCGAGATTCATATTTTTAAAGGTTACTTTTAAAATATATTTTGAAAGTTAGTTCTTAATTAGGTATTTTCTTAGCTTGACAGGAAAGTACATTTTTCCTAGCTATGTTTACAAAGTGACGGTTATGTGACAATCACCGTGCTAGCTAGACATTTTATCATTCGCAATCTTTAGAAGAATTTTACAATGTTGGCAGGCATGGGATTTTCTCCTCCAATTTCTAGTTGAAGAAATTGGCTCAAAACCCACTAGCAAAGTAAACAGTTGGTAGATTTTTAAGAAGCCACATTATCTTACCTATTCCCGGCTTTAGAATACAACCTCAAGATACAGTATCATAATAAAGTTTTTAATGATTACATCTTAACGACTAAAAATTGAAAGGAGAAAAATGTATAATTTGTATAAATTTAAAATTTATATAAATTTAAAATTTGTATAAATTTAAAATACCACAAGCAATGTGTACTGTGTTGATAATTTTGTTTTTACCTATATCTTAATTTTTATTGTGTAGAAGAGAACAAACAGAGTTTCAAATTTTTTGCTAGGATATTCTATAAGAGAAAGAATATGCGAACTGTTACCTTGTCTCCCAAGTGGACGACCAGAGGAATAGGTAGATGATGGTCTGCAATGCATCAGTCTCACACTATTTAAACCTCATCCCATCACGATATGCTAATTCTGTGGTTTCAAATACCTAAAGAGACATTCAAATTCTAAGAAAGCACTATGATTAGAAA